TTTGCTGACGGTCTGTGCTTGTTGTTCTATTCCTCGTGATCTGTTGCGAGGGGCTTGAAGTTTCACGGTTTTGAGTAATCTCTCGGATGGCAAGTTCTTCTTCTTGTCTGATATCTGACTCAAGGGCGTCGTTTGTTCCACTTGTAGTTGTGGAGTTTTGGGGGTCTGGTCGTCCTGCATCTCTTCTGTGAGCTGTGTCATAACTGCATTTATTATATTTTCGGTGCTGTTATCTTGTTTCTTTATTATTGTAGAGAAAGTCAGTACGATAATGGCGATCATCTGTTTTATTTGTTCTTCTGTGAATGCCGCTTGTAGATTGGCAGGCTGGGGTGTATTCAGGTGGGCGGTCGCCTGAGGGGGATGCAGTGTGCCAGGCAATATGATGTTCTAAACCAATACTGGAGTGTTCTGTGCTTTTACTGCTATACAACTCTGGAGCTGCCATTGTGGAGTCCACTGATTTGTCATGGTTTCCTCCATGGACTGATTTTGTCCCGGTGTCTTCAATTTTGTCCTGTAGCCTGGTGGGAGAAGTGCAGGGAAGGAATGTGCTCTGAGGTGCTTCTGTTGTGTTTTGTGGTTGAATTTTTGCCATTGCAACTTTCATTCGGTCTCTCCTCTCTGGACATGATGTGCTCCAAGCGTGATGTTTCTTTCCAATTTGGGCACTTGGTTGTCGTGGTGGTTCCTTCCTTGTGTTTTTAATACACTTTCTGTCTTGTGACTTTGGCTGCAGATGCCACATCTCACTTTTTTGTGTCATCGGGATTAGTGATGTACCGAATTTCTGACATTTGTAGCATCGTAGTGGTTCTGGGACAAAAGGACGCAACTTTTAAGTCCCCCAGTTGCTTAGGTCTTCCTCCTCTGGGACTGTCCCCTTGATGTCCACTAGCACTTGCTTTGTCTGTGCTTTGTCCTGACTCGTAACACAACGCTCTGCCTTGGTCACTTTTGGATGTTTTATGATGACTTCTACAGGTAGTTCCAGAGGATATCGTAGTAGGACCATTCTGGTTGTTTTCTCCTCGGGGTCTAATGGTATTATCTTGACCGTCTTCCCGTTGTGATTGGTGACCTCGCTGAGGATCTTGGCTGTGTTGTGGTCTTGGGGGGAAAGTATCAGGTCTCCAACTAGATTGGGCTTAACACTGAACTTGATGTTCTGTAATCTAGTTCCAGTGCTACCACTACCTCGTATGCATGGTTGAATTCGGTTTCTTTGGGAATCTTTTACTTCATCACAGTCTATGTCGGAGATGTTGTTTTCCTTCCGAGGTCTCTTGTGGCATTTTCCTTCCATCGCTTACATCTCTCTCGCTCATCTTTATATCAAAAATTGACAATGAAGGCTCACTACACCTACCTAGTTCCTTGTTGCCCTAGGACCAGTGCCGTAGTTAATCCCTCTTCCCCCCAACGGGGGTCGTAGGTTGGTGGCTCTGGTTTTGCAACAGGAACCCCAAAGAAGGGGGAGCCTACTTTACCCTGTCAGCTAAACTCACCGGCCCAGCTCACACCCATTAAGTGGCCCCTTTGTGGCCTGTCCTAACGACAGTTCCCGCAGGGTTCGTTAATACTGTGAGAATCGGTGAGGGCACTAAGAAATGTGAGCATAAAACACAGAAACAAGCAAGACAATTCAACAGAGACGAGATATCCACGACTCCACGTCAAAGTGAGAGTGGCGTGGCGTGTGTGGCGACAGTAAGTCTGGCGAGGCACGTGGAAGCACGTGGGTCGGGAGTAACTACGACACGCGTCTTCTCACCTCACTGCTCAACTTAGCATGTCTTTTATATCTGGTGTAATTTTGTGTTTTCTTAGACGTGAGAGTACAATCGGTTCTTACACTGAAACACATATTTCTTCTTCGCTGTAAGTTTCTGCTGCATTTTGAACACTTGAACACTAAATCAATGTTTACAGATGAAATCTAGGAGATGGTTTTCCTCCTCTACAAGCACAGATAACTTGTGATACGATACGGAACACGACGTGATAAGGACGCTATTGAAAAACTATATGGCTTCTCCCTCAGTCCTCCTCCTTGGAGGAGAACAATGAGTACACGAACATGCAGTTCACTTAGAATCCAATGCTGCTTGAAAGGTATTGAAAATGAATAAAAAATCGGTTTCGATTACAATAATAAGTACTCATCATTTAAAAAAAAAATAAGCTTAAGAGAACCTATTGGGCGGAAAGAAAAAAATAGATAAGGTTTGCGCAGTTTATAGATACGCGGCTCTGGATATTGAAGGCTAAAAAATAAAAAGGCATTCTAACATATAAAAAAGGAGGAAAAATCCCCGTTGTGACTCTCGATCGTTTAATAGTAATTAATTTAAGCGAGAACGGATTTAGAATTCATTCGTTCACTAAGGGACGACAATACGCGCTAACTGGCCAGAATTTTTTTTTTCACAATTTAACCCCGCGGGGGCGGGGGGTACTGCCAGCAGAATCCTAACATGGGGCTTAAGGGTTTTAAGTGTCATTTGATCAGTTTTTTGCCGCGTTTTTACCCCACACTTTCCCCCTTCCTTCATGCCCTGCCCACTACAGGTCCGTTATGTCCTGCCCACTACAGGTGATTTATAATCGTAGATAGAGAAAACTGGAGCGTCGTTTCAGATTTTGCTTAGGGCGTGAGGGGGTTGGGTGGAACACCATTATATGCAGAGAGTAGGGGTCAAAATCCTGCTCCACCGTGGTGCCGCCGGGTGGTGCTGTAACAGATGAAACACGTTCCAACACACTTTAAATTTTCAATTTACATCTGCCCGGTGTGGACCGTGTGGCTGCTAGCAATATGACTTACTTCCATGCTGCTATTCAGTTTATAAATGATAGGCAATAAGAATGATGAAAATAGATGAATACTTATCATTTTGTTTAGTTATGCACTGTAGAAATACCATTGAAATGTTCTCACCAAATCAAAATTGGTCGATACGAAAAAAAGGAATATAATCAAAATTTTCCTTGGAGAGCAAGACAGCCCTTGGGAGGGGCATTTCAGGACTTGGGGGCGGCAAGCCAGGTTTTTTTTTGGGGGGGGGACCCCCAAGCCCCCCCCAAATGACGCCTCTAAGAAAAAATGGAAATAAAAAAATATAACAATTATGATTAAAATAAGCATTTTTCGTATCTATTTTATTAGTTAATATCATCCAAAGTATAACTGTGCAAGATATGAACGAAATATATAAACCTGTTCAGTTGCTAACCGTTTCCTCCACCTTTAACAACGGGGAAATTTGATTCAGTATCACCAAATTAGTGACATACAGGAAACTCAACCAAGTGTGTCTTGCTTATACAGCAATAACTAGTTAACTAATTTCTTAAGACCATTTGTGCCAGAGTGGGAACCTTACACCAATTCAAATTAATCTCAGTTGTTTGGAAAAGCAGTGGGAAACATTACATTGTGTGAACCTGGGTAGTATTACAGAGTGAAATAATATATTGTGATAAACGTGTGGTACTCATTTTGCATTTTTGTTCAAGATTAGATATTAAGTATGTAAAAACTTGGACCGGATTGAAATAATACTTAGGAATTATATGTTTCACAGAAATCTCAAAGAAATTTGGAGGTTTTAAAAATTGTTGATTGATCAGTTTCTGGGCTGCTAACAGGCCTTTAGGGAACCAAATCACTTTAAAATAATTAATCCTACGAAAGGAGTTGTGAATTATTATTAGAATTTGAAGCATTTAAAAATATTTTGTTGAATTTCATGGGAAACACATCCAGCTTAGGACACGAGTCCTTTTATTTTTCATTGAGTTTTCTTTTCAATATCTCTACATTGAATTAATTTATTTTCTGTGATCAGTAACTAGAAGAAGAATTATCCAGTGATTTACCTAATTAGATAATTTATTTCATTGAAACTTTCATTAATAAATTAAATACAAAAAGCTTTCCTTGTAATTCTATGAGTAATAGTTTTGTACCAGAAGGTTGCATGGTGTCATAGATCATCTGATTTTGTCTTTTAAACAACTATTGATATTTTGGTGTAGTCATATTAAAACTATTTGGTAAAATAACAAAATAAGACCAGCTTTACCAGAGATTCAGGAATGTTTTCTAGTCTTTATAAGGTGTGATTTTGTGAAACATTCGTGCATGCCAAGGGCGGATCCGAGGGGGGCCTGACCCCTTCTTTTTACCAGATAATTCCAATATTTTTTTAATGCAGTATTGTATTGCTTTGCTGTAGTTTTGTACTCAGGCATTTTTGTATGATAAAAAGTAATTACTATTGACCTCGGAATATCTCCTAATATCAAGTGCACGTGGCTTCAAAATGGCCTCAAAATGCCCACGATATAGATCAGATAAAGAAAAAAAACATCTGGGAGGACTCGCTTTGCTCACCAGGTTCCCCCAGTCAAAATTTCTTGACCTCCCCCCTGTTGATATTTCTGGATCCGCCCATGTATGTTATATCCTTTTATTGTTAACATCACAGAAAGATATAAGGGCGTGTTAATACCAAGGTGCTATTTTTTGTATCTTCAATAGTTTGTGTTGAAGAAGATTTATTCTGGTCTCAGTCAGTGGACGTGTTTATTGGTCCATATTGCTAATGTTGCTTTAGGAAGTTTCAAACATTTGTAAGTGTAATTTTATAATATTAATTAAATGTAAATCTTGTCAACTTTTCTCTTAAACCCCAATAACCAACCAACAGTCATGGCTACACCGTTTTTTGTTGCCTGTACGGAAAAGACTTTGTTGAAAAACGCTTCCACTGTATTTTAAAATCCTGCCACACTTACAGAGATCAGATCTTTTACAACTTAACTATATATAAGTGTGTGTGTGTGTGTGTGTGTGTGTGTGTGTGCTGGATGATCGTCATACTCGATTCCGAGTGACAGCAAAGTAGAAGTAGTAGTGTTTGTCTGCATGTGCGTTTTGATTCACTTATTTCTTATATACATGACAAGACAACTCAAACTTTCTAAGTACTCACAAAGCAAGTAGGAGCAGTGGTTGGTTAAGAGTCCCATGATGAAACGGAGAGCGAGAATAGCGTTGAAGTTAGTGACGGCAGAGATGCTGAGAGAGACGAGACTGTACACCACCAGCGTTACCACCACCACGATCTTTCTCCCGTACCTGCAGGAACACACACACAACTTCAACAAAAGTAGTAAAAACACCGAGAAAAAACTAATTGCCCCTATATTTTATCTTCTCGTGAAACTGGGGAAATATTAACCCAGTGGTGGGATGTCATCAAGGTGAAAAGTAAAGTGGGTCCCAGAGGCGGGATTCCATTAGGGACAGTGTGGATATAGCACACTGTATACTAAGCCTTCAGTACACTAGAGGGCAGCTGGGCCGGTACTGCTCTCGACCACCTTCACTTTGCAAAGTAGTTAACTTAGGTACCCATTTACAGCTGGGTAAACTGGGAACAACCGGGAATCGAACCACCGACCCCTGTAACAGGAGGCAAGTACTGTATTCACTTGATCGCTGCGCTCCATCATCATTGTAATATGAGTAAATTTGAGGTGCTTATGCGAGTTGCTATCATTGCAAAGAACACTAGCTGCTGGAGCACCTAGAGAATAAAAATGCAACTTATCACCAAGTAGTAACATCACCACCACAGTATAAATTGTGAGAAACTTTGAACTCCTATAAACTTGTTTTAGAAAAAGATTGTGTGATGGGGACATTTTATGGCACAAATAAATGGATGATTTAAGGAAGCGCTTTTCATTTGTGCACATTGCCATTTCAATTGGGCGAAAAATCCCCTCATTTGAGCAGGAAGATTTCCTTTATTTGGGCCGAGATTTACACTTCATATTAGTGGATCATACAGTCGCGGTCAAAAGTAATCATCCACTCCACCACCTAACTTCTGAGCCTGGCGGGGTCCTTTCTGCATGATAAGTTACGTGGCGTGGAGAGGGGGGATGGTTCACTTGGGGAAGGGCCATTTGATGGGGAGGGGGGATGTGGGAGGGTGGTATGCGATGCAAATTACTCATCATGATAGAAGGAAAGGAATGATGGAAGTAAATTGTTTTCTCACTATATTATCTTACATAAGAACATAAGAACATAAGAAAGTGGGATACTGCAGGAGGCCGACTGGCCCATGCAGGGCAGATCCCTTTCACACCCATCCCAGCACTTCCATGTGCCTATCCAACTTCGTCTTGAAGCTCCCTAGCGTCCCCGATCCTACTATAGCACTCGGTAGCCTATTCCACATATCCACAACTCTATTACCAAACCAGTGCTTGCCTATATCCTTTCTGAATCGGAATTTATCTAATTTAAAGCCATTTGTTCTAGTTATTTCGTTATTACTGAGCTTCAGAACATCTTCCATTTTACCCTTGTTAATCCCACTTACCCACTTGTACACCTCTATCATATCTCCCCTAACTCTACGCCTCTCTAATGAATGTAAGCCTAAGCTTTTCAGTCTTTCTTCGTATGGAAGGTTTCTAATATTATGGATCATTTTTGTCATTCTTCTTGTACTCTCTCCAAAGAATCTATGTCCATTCTATAATAAGGACACCAGAACTGAACCGCATAATCCATGTGTGGCCTCACTAATGCTAGGTAAAGTTTCAAGATAACGTCAGCAGTTCTGTTACTCACAGACCTAGATATGAACCCAAGAATCCTGTTTGCCTTGTTGCGAACGCTAATACATTGTTTTCTAGGTTTCAAGTCGTTGCTAACAAATACACCTAGATCTTTTTCACAAACTGAGTTTTCTATTTCCGTGTTACCTAGTTTATACTTAACGTTTGTATTCGTCTTCCCTATCTGTAGTACCTTGCATTTATCAGTATTAAAATTCATTTGCCAGTTTACTGACCACTCATGTAAGGTATCTAGATCTCTTTGAAGGTGTTCAAAGTCACTGTCTGAATTTATCACTCTCCCCATTTTGGTATCATCTGCAAATTTACTAATCCTACTAGTTATGCCTAAATCAAGATCATTAATGAATATAACAAACAGCAGAGGGCCTAATACAGATCCCTGGGGAACTCCGCTTTTGACCGCACCCCAGTCTGACTTTAATCCATTTATGCTGACTCTTTGTTTCCTACCAGTTAACCATGACCTAATCCATTTTAATACTGATCCACCTATTCCATGTGCTTCTACCTTCCTTATCAATCTCTCATGAGGGACTCTATCGAATGCTTTACTGAAATCTAAATAAATTATATCATATGACTTATCATTATCTACCGCTTCATATACTTCTGAGAAAAAGCTAAGCAAATTTGTGAGACAAGAACGTCCCTGGGTGAACCCGTGCTGAGAAGAATGAATTAAGTTGAATGTTTCAAGGTGGCTTCTGATTTTTGTAGCAATAATTGACTCTAGCAACTTGCCTATGATTGACGTGAGACTAATGGGACGGTAATTTGATGCTATTGATTTATCACCCTTTTTGAAAATCGGAACTACATTTGCAAGTTTCCAAGCTTCTGGCACTAGGCCCGATTCTAATGACTTATTAAATAAAACTGCTAATCTTAGATTTACATGCTTCAAAGTGTAAGAGATGAGGTTCCTTGTTTTAGGATTATTATAATGTGCCGTCCATTTCCTTATTTATATATTTTTCGAGGTTATTGTTCCGGTTTTTAAACAACGGTAATTAGATATTTAAAACTACATTGATTTGATGAGAAATATTGAATACGGCCAAAACTTATATCATTTACTGTATATGAATCAAGAGTTCAAATATTTGTGTTTATATTACACACCCAAAACTAGTCATTTTAATATATCAAATGCCAGCAAATCATCAAAGATACTCATGGCGGCCGGTTTCCTAAGTTCCCAGACTCCTTCCAGAGGGTTAACCAACGCCTCACAGTGACCCCAACCTCCCTTGCAATTTCTGACATGTTGTAGCAAACCGATAATTTGCCCGCATTTCGCCAATCGACTTTCTTTAGCGTTCATCCTGGGATGGGTGTCGAGCGGTGATTTTTTTTTTCAAGAACGGTAGTGGCGAGAGGTGGAAGTAATCAATTAACAGCCTCGTTTACTGTTACTGGTGATGACCAAGTTACTTCCCTTCCTCTCTTATGTTGTCATATTAGGGCTTTCCCTCATTGAAGCCAGACGCCTTACCAACAATACTGAAACTACCTGCCAAAAGCTTGCTCACATTCCTCCCTAAATCTCAAGTAAATAACTACGGGAAAGTTATATCCATATGACAGCTCCCCTTCACCTCCACGGATACCCACCCACCCTCCTGGTTGGTTGGGCTTTAGGCCTATCAACTGCTTGTGTCATTAAGGCCGTCAACGTCAAGCTACATCCACCAACATTATCACCTTCTTCAGGTGTCAAGGATAATTATAAGACGTATGTGGCCCTTGACTTGTGCATTCCTTCCTTACCCAGATCCGCCACCCTTAGCTCTCCCCCTATTACCTCTCAATGCCTCCCCGCCCTCTTGTTACCCGTCGTGTAGAAAGGCCTTCAGCTCCTTGATATGGTAGTAGGAGGTGTGGATGATTACTTCTGACCGCAATTGTGCACTTCATTTGAGCTAAAATGACCCTCACCTATACCGTTTTACAGTGTCTCCTATTTTGCCTTATATTCTACGATTAGGTTTAATTACTTTAGATTGGTTAGGTTGTTAGGTTAGGTTAGTTTAGGTTAGAATAAGTTAGGTTAGTTTAGGTTAGAATAAGTTAGGTTAGTTTAGATTACTTTCTGTTAAGTTGGGATTATCATTAAACGGCAATGAACGAGTAAGAAAAGCAAAAAATCATTGCAGGAAAACTTACTGGGAGGGAAAGTCACCTAAAGAAATTTGTTTCAGAGGATAATTATTAGGTGACACAAACACCCTGAGGTTACACTCACCTTCAGTGTACCATACTAACATCTCCCAGGCAACATGGACGGGTTCCATAGGCCTCATGGCTCGTTACGGATAGTGTCAATGTAGCACACTAAAATTAAACCTTTGGTACGTAAGTGCTCAGTGTGGCCGATAATGCACTCTACCGTCCTCACTTTCTAACTGTGAAGGTAGGTGCCCATTCACAGCTGGTTGAAATAAGGGTTCCTAGGACGCGAACCAGCGATCCTTCGGACGGGACGCAAGCACTGTATCCATTTGGCCGTCGCAACGCTGTTACTCTAGTAGTGTCGGGTAAGTTAAACAAATGTTATTCTCTATAACTTTAAGAGAATATTATGTAATGCATACAGTAATTCTGATGGAAATTTTATTGCGAGCGTCCATATTATGCTGGTGAGATAGATATAGGCCCATGTTCGGAGGAGTGTTATACTGCGGGAATGGCAACTGTCTCTTACCTGTCAGCTAAATATCCGGTAATAATGGAGCTGAACACGGTAGAAAACAGGTAGATGCTCTGAAAGGTGGGTCGGAGGAACGAATTCTGACACACCAGCCCGAACTGTTGACAGAAATACACACATCCAAAAACTAATGGAAAACTAAGTTTTAGGTAACAAGGAAAGTCCCAATGTACAAAGATATTGCCAAAAATTAACTGAAAATCTTACAGAATAGAGTACTATTAATTTTAATGACTGGTTGATAATTTTTTTTGCAATTATGATTATGAAATTTAGAGTGTTCTTGGAACACCAGTTACCCACCAGACATCATGATGAAATATAGTGCCACCTTCAGGTACCCGGAACCCACTGTTCCGTTATGACAGCAACTGGTACATAATATAATTGCTGGGAAGCCTAATTAAAAGTGTGAAACTCTCTCTCTTCATTACCACATTGTATTATCACACATTGATGAAGTGATTAATCATAGACTGAACACAGTCAGGTTAGGTGGTAAACCTAAGTTTGTTTAGTTAAGAAAATCCTAGGAAAGTCTTTTCCAGGATCACTGTTGAGTGTCCAGGGTATAACAATATTTATATCCCTGTTATATCCTCTCAATGAAAAAAATCAATAGGTCCATATTTGGCATTCTTGCACCCATCAGTCTTGATATATTATGTTACCCCTAACAAAAGTAATATTGTGTATATAGAAATATTTCGCCAATAGAAGAAAAGTGTTAATAAAATAAACACATCCATGTTGTTATGCAGATCATATCTTTTATATCATTTGTCCTGTTCTTCAACATGCGATGTCCGTCCTTAGAGTGGCGCGACATGGCAGCTGGCATGCGCACTACCTCAGAGGTGAGAGTGCGAGTGAAGACGGAAGTGTCGAAGTCCCACTCGGTGCAGTGTTTCTCTTCCAACCCCGCCAAGGATGACCTGTCCACTGTGTAGGTGCACGAATCTCTGCGAGGGAGGACACAAGACAGCTGTTACTGTAGTTTTTGAAAATTATAGTGGCAAGGAGCACTGCTGTGTAACCTGAGTGATCAAAGGCAAAAATGGAATTATACAGTATTAATGTTTATGACAAGTTTGAGTAATATTTAGGGATACCAAATTGTATTATTCACTGAGCATGAATTTTTCACCCCTCTAAAAGAAAGAATTATTACGAACACGCCTCCAGCAGTAAAGTATAATTTTAATTTTATAGGATGGTATATACACCTGATATATGGGTATAAGTTGATACTGTTATGTATTCATTTTTCTTTTCTTAGTCAACGAGTATAATTTGTTAAATCACCCAATTTTTTTTTCGTTATCTGTTTTCATGATTTTTTTTTGTTTATTCAGTAGTCTGTAAATATTTCGTGATTAAATGAGAAAACGTTATTTCTGATTCACGATCTGTAACATTGTTAACCCGCAATGAATAATATTGCCAACGGTATTTAAATGACACATTGGTTTAATATAAAGTGAATATGTTGAATTATAATTGTTTTTAGGAAGAATGAGTCGCATGATTGTTGGAATTTTTTTCTCTCTGGTCATGGTTGTGCTAAGACATGATCTGTGGTCTGACTAATATATGGTAGTCATTGTTTTGTGAATAGAGGTATAACTGTACAAATGTGTTGTTATATTCGGTATTGTATAATATATCTGTGAAGGAGATAGAGTAGCATTGACTGTGAATAAGTTTAGTAACTGTAAAATAACATTATACTTGAAATATTTTGTCACTATTTTATTGATGGTTAGTATATTAATTTGCTAAATTGAGGTTTCGATATCCTGACTAGTTAAAGAATGAGGTGAGTGATAAATGAGTAATGACTGGAGAGATAACATGTTGTCTCCAACTTTTAACAGTTATTCATATTGATATTGAAACAGTTTATTTAGCCAGACAAATACAGAGTGGATATTAATAACAATATTGACATGTGCTGAGCCAATTGAGAGCCAACTTCTGTTTTGTTAATCTAAGATTATTTTTCAGGGTAAATGTGGCTGATGAACCTTGGGGGCCTGTCTTGGAGTTGACATGTGGTACAGTAAGTACCAATATGGATGTAAAATTGAAGTGTACTCCTGTGGACTAAAAGTGTAACAGTAGAAGCGGTTATTATTATTGCAATGTGCGGTGCACCACAAGTAAATTAACAATTGTACTTACTTTGTGATTATGTTCTCTTTATTATAAATTGTATAATAATTTATTTGGTGATAAAATGTTTGGAAATGTTATTCACAGAAACTAATGACGTATACATTATTTATACCAGTAAGTGAAGTAGGTGGGGTGAGAGGCATATGTTATAACTGGGTTCTTTGATGTGAAGGCATTCCACATTCAGAAAAGAACCAAATAGTAATATATTGTGAATACAGTAGTCTATTGTTCGCAGGTTATTTTTAATAAACAAACACACACACACACACACACACACACACACCTACTTTACTACTTTGCTGTCACTCGGAATCGAGAATGACGATAATTCAACTATGATACAATGATATGAGTTACTAGGGATGTCGCCTAGGTTGGCAGGTTTTGAGTTGACTAGAGGCCGATACGGGACCGACAGAGTCGTTCACATTCGTTGCACATGTGGGGGGCTGCATCTAGTGCGGGAGAGGAGGTGGCGGCGTCTTTCCGGCGTTGGCACTTGTCTGCCTCGGTTTGCAGTGGGGCTAACTCGAAAGTATTGACACCTTCTCGTGTGGTGCTTCTCCAAGCGTTACTATGTGGAGTAATCGTCTCCCAGGTGAGGGGGTCGATTTGGCACTTTTTCAGGTTTGTCTTAAGACTATTCTTTTACCTTTTCAATTGGCCTCCAGCGTTACATTTACTATTCATTAGGCGACTGTAAAGTAGCTGCTTTGGCAGCCTACTGTCCTCCATGCGGGTAACATAGCCAGTCCAATACATTTAGTTGTTCGTGGATAATGGTAGCCTCGATGCTCCTACAGTTGGTGTCAGCGTGAATACTGGCATTTGTTTTCTTGTCTTCCAGCGAACTCAGCGGTTGGAACATAGACTACGTTGGTGAAAGCTTTCAAGTGGCTTGAAGTGCCTCCTGTATGTGACTCGTGTCTCCCTGGCATATACAGGTAGCAAGGTGGGAAGGACCACTGCTCGATATACGTGCAACTTTGTAGATAATTTCAGTTCCCTACAGCTGAAAACACGTGTTACGAACCACGCCACCAATTATCATGATCTACCTACCCAGCACTACGAACCACGCCATCTATTGTCCTGATCTACCTACCCAGTACCACGAGCAACGCCATCTAGGGACGAAACACGAGTATGACTAGTCTTAGTTACCACTCCGGGGTTTCCCTTCTCCATATCCTGGTTGTTGCATCACCTCCTACAAGTCTTCTTCATCAGCTCCAGTTCGATGAGAGTTCAGTTCACTCTGGGAAGTGACCACAGGATCACCAAATCCTGGAAACCTACGGCACAGTGACTACATACCATCGTCTTCAATACTCATCCTTACTCGTCAGCCATCTCAGCTCCGCACTTAAGTATTTGTAATCTTATATTGCCTCCCCACCTCCACATGCTTTAGAATTGTTGTATGTTGTATAAATATGTATATACTGTTAATGTTTAGGTTAAGTATGGTTAAGGGTAAATTATAGAAAGCTGAATATTTTGTTGAGGAATTTATGGTACTTTATTATACACAACAAAAACTCGCATCCTTTGTCTACCCTTTTATAGTCCGATTGACACTGGTCAACAGCCAAAATGGTTCACATATGAGATCATGCTCACACAACTAATTTAATATTGCTGAATTCGATCCTGATATTTGTTTTGTTCTATCAGACCAGGTTTTATAAATAAAATCAATAGGTACAAATATTTAATATTCCATCACGTGTCGTGCAAGAGATGAGATTATCTCATGTGACTGTGCTTTCATGACTAATTTCATATTAATGAATATTAATTGGATGTTTCATTCTACCATCAGACCTACTTTCTTAAAGAATAAAAAAAATAGTAAATATAGTAACATTATCGCGTCATTCAAGATACAATTTTAAACCTATCACAGATAAGCTCATAAAAAATTGTACCAAAAAACATAAGTTCAAATCCTTTATAATGACAAAATATGAAGTTCTAAAAGTGCTTCTGAACTTTACTCTTTCTCTTGTACAGCTTGCTCTCTTCTCGTTGCAGTGTCCAGCAATAGTCGCCCATCATGTTAGGACTGAATTGTCCCTGATATCTGCTCTCCATTATGGCGATATCTTGATGAAATCTTTCGCCGTGTTCATCACTAACGTCTCCAAGGTTACCTGGGAAAAATTCAATATGAGAGTGGGAAAAAATGCAATTTCAAGGACATCCTTGCTCCCAATGCATGATAATTCTGAAGCAAGGTTGTTACGATTTCTTTGTAGTTGTCAGCACGATAGTTTCCAAGAAAATTCTTTGACACATTGACAAATGATTCCCATGTTTTTTTCTCCAGTGGGTTCAATGTTTTGGTGAATTCGCTATCATTATCTAGTATACGAATTTGTGGTCCATTCAAGACACCTGCTTTCAACTTGGCTTCGGAAACCACACCACCTAGTTTCTGAGATAAGTATAGAGTCCCAGCACCGAATTGATCCATAGCTTTGATGAAATTTTTAGCCAAACCGAGCTTTAGATGCAGTGGAGGCAAAAATATCTTTTCTGGATCTACAAGCGGATTGTGAGCACAGTTAAACCTTCCAGGCGCATCTCTTGGTCTTGTCGGCCAATCCTTTCTCACATAGTGCTCTGCATCAGCTCTGCTGTTCCACAAGCACAAAAAGCACATGTGCTTTGTGTAGCCACTCTGAAGGCCCAGTAGTAAACTGATGACTTTGAGATCGCCACATATCTTCCACTGGTGTTTCTCATACTCTATAGCGGCCAACAGAATTTTCATTGTTTCATAGCTCTCAGTCATTTTTGTTGCGTGTGCTATTGGGACAGATGGAAGCCGATTGCCATTGTGTAAAAGAACAGCTTTCAGAGAGTCTTTTCCTGAGTCTAAAAAACAGCCTCCAATCCTCTGTCTTGTATGTTTCAGACTTGCAGAGTTGTTGCATGAGAGATACTGCGTCCTCGCAATAACAAAGGTTGTTTGCCATCTTGAAAAATGCAGACAGCTGTCTATGTTGGTAATGCGCTGTAGTGATATGCACTCCATCTTCTAGCAGGTTACGCTGCTTTAGTCTGGATCCCAAAACTTCAGCCTTTTCTTTTGACAAGTTTAGGTCCCTGATGAGATCATGAAGCGCTTCTTGAGTAAATAGTTTAGGCCTGGTATTTTCAGAGTCATCCTGGTAGTCGTTTTCCATTGAGGTAGAGGTAGAATCGGAATCACTCAATTCTTGTTCAGTCGGTGGATTTGGGACTGGAAGTTCAGCACTGTGCGGTACTGGTCGGATTGCAGAAGCAATATTGGGGTACTGTACCTTACCTTGCCTAACATCAGCCTTAATATGCACTTGAACAGTACAAAAAGTATACACCACTTATCTCCGCAATAATATCCTGAGACCAGACCAACTGAATAACAACCTCGCACCAGCCAGGCACGTCTGCTTCTGTCCCAGTTTCCACCAGCTGAGTTGGTGACCAGTGCCCAACACAGTGCTGATACCATGTCTTCAATTTCAATTCTATTTTATCTCACTGATATGCAACAATTAACTGATTAATTTAACAAAAACATATTATACAATAATATGTATTACATATTAAACAGTAATTGCATACAAGAACAAAGTAATATAAAATATAGCCTTACCTCCTGAACAAGCAGGGTAATTATCTCTGAACATGTAAGGAAATTACCTATAAATCATATGTACGTACTGATATGTAGCACCATATATATATATATATATATATATATATATATATATATATATATATATATATATATATATATATATATATATATATGGTGCTACATATCAGTACGTACATAAATCGCGATATTTTTCGTGACAGAGTGACCAGTAACAACAATGTACAGTACTAGAAGATCAAGCTGTACGAGGCAGCCACTTACTCTGATATTTGAGTGATGTTCTCTCCTTCGGGTGGTAGGCACGTGTAGTTGACCACTGGGGCGTAGAACATCATGTTGAAGGTCTGCGACGGCAGGAGGAAGTACCCTGTGATAAACCACACAGGGGTTTAATTTTACACCTTTAGTAGACTATCTCCCCAATAGACTGTCTCCCTTAAGTACTGTACATTCAACAATTTGACTTTCAGTGCAAGTGGATGCTCGAAGGTCTAGTGTAGCAAACTATGATAATAATAGGATCTCAGGCGCCATTAGTTCTGCACAATGATTAGGTTACCGGTGTAACAGCCCAAAATATACCCCCTCCTCAGACTATACCCCGGGTATATTCTGGGCTAGTCCAGTTTATACCCCGGGGTACAAAACAGGCTAGGCTATTTCATACCTTTCTTAATGCCTATAAGATGTTTGATCCTACCTTTCATCCATTTTGGGTTATTATTTTTGGATCTGAATTGCCTTCTTGGAATAATATCGTTTTGAATAATCTTAAGGGTTTCTGCAAAATTTTCGTATTCATTATCCAAATCAATATAATTTGAAGGCTGACGACCTGACTTATTTCCTTCTTGGTCATTCTGAAATAATCCTACCTCTTCCACGGGACCTGAATTCACTTGTTCTGGCCCTGGTGGGGGTAATACCACCCCACACCTCATTCCTAAGCCTATCTCTTAAACCTATAAAATTTGCTTTTCTGAAGTCTGTTACAATTCTATTATTTTCTTTCTTCTCATTTGTTAAGTTAAGGTCAAATCTGATGACTTTGTGATCGCTATTTCCTAATGTTTCTTCAATTTCTAAATTTGTAATTGTATTTTATCTATTACTTAATACTAAATCCAGTATATTATTCCTCCGAGTTACCTTATTTATGAAAAACACAAGGAGGTATAATCAGGACAGGAGAGATATAGTCTGGTCTAACCCAAAATATATAAATTATGATGAAAAAAAACTCTGGACATTGAAATACAAACTTATTTATAAAAAAAACAAGGGGGTATAATCTGGACTAGAGAGGTTGAGTCTGGGCAAGCCCAAAATATATCCCGGGGTATAATATAGCCTGGGCTATTTTATACCCCGGGGTATATTTTGGGCTAGCCTACTGTAACCCCGGGTATAATTTGGCGGGGGGTTAATGTGGGCTGCTACACCGGCACCAGCTTGGTAATCAGAAACCGTGGAAAGAGATGTTTTTGTCAGTGATCAACAGTACCATAAACTTACAATTATTATTGATGGCAAGGCGACTGGTGTGCTGTACTTATATCATGATGGTATGATATATTTCTACTACTAATAATATTTTCAGAGATTGAAAAGTGTACAAAATTATTTTACGTTTCAAGTGTTGATCTGTGAAGAAAACAACGCTGTCGAAAAAAAAAAGTGAATTGGCTTATTTGCTAGCCTGTAATTTACATTGTATCGCGTCATATTCTATCTGCCTATTATGGTTAAGTTGTTATCTTTGTGAAAAATGGTTCACATATTCCAAGAAGCAAGTAAGGAAACATACTGTACGTCTCTAACTCGGGATGTGAATACTGAATACGTGTTTCATCGTAAGTAAATAAATAAAACATTTCTTTAGAAAATGCATCAGATCTTAATCTGAATTATAAGTAAATTGCTAGACAGCAAAATAAGCCATACCATGGCGGATCATCTACAACGGAACAGCACTTAAGAGCAGTAATGCCAATACGGGTATATGCTTGGCCCCTCCTCCTTGGCGGGGTTGTTACAAGTGTTGGATGAAGTGTCATTACTGTATATATTTTGACTGGGAAGCTAAAGCCAAGAGCGAACTTTTAGGTCCAGACGTGACCAATACTGGCAGTGGTACATGTTCTTGTACTGTACAGGTGTACAGCATAGTCAAGAGCCGGTACTTACCAACAGTGCTGAACAGAGCACTGGCCGACCGCCCAACTGCCAGTGTGCTGACAAGGGTGTAGGGAATAAACTATAAAGTATAGCTCATTAGAGAGAATAGTCGCAATTACTGGTAACAAAGGGGAACTCCTATAAAGGGAAGAACTGACAGAATGATAAATGTGAAGAAAATACCATGAATCGGACCACGAACTCTTTTATTTTCAAGCTCCATTAACTGACCAAATCCACCTTTAACCAGAATTGTCGCCTTAGGCTGGTTTACGAGCCGACGTGAAGAGAAAAAGTCTAACTTGTAGCTTTTCCAATATTGGCATCATGTGGGAGACAGCCCTAGTATGATGACGGTCTGGGAACGTCTCTCTAGCATGTGGAACGTAGGCGAGTAAGGCACTGAACTGACGAACAACATACAGAATCATAAAAGTTAGCAGATAAATTAAAATATTTCGTAATATATATATATATATATATATATATATATATATATATATATATATATATATATATATATATATATATATATATATATATATATATATATATATATATATATATATATATATATATATAGATAGATAGATAGATAGATAGATAGATAGATAGATAGATAGATAGATAGATAGATAGATAGATAATATTCAGAAATTTCAATGTGATATTTAGAGACGTTAGAGAGCAAAAATGGCCGATCTGCCGAACAGGGAAACATAAGTAGGCCAGGCTGAAACACCCACGCCTTGTGGCGAGTTTAAACAAAAGCCTCCAAGCAACGCCCTCAGTCAAGGGGTGGAAGCATTTTGAACTTGGCCTATAGAAATTTAAATGTACTTTATCGAATTAATGTAGACCCGATTCAAGAAGTTAAAGAACAATTATAAAATTTTAATTTATTGTGGATAGTTTCCCAGTTCTAATATGTTATGTGTGTCCCAAAGAAACTTAGAGATACGCGAAAGATGACGCAATGGGGGAGGGGGGGCCAGGTGAGCGCCCTGAGGGATGCCACGCTGACCGCTGACGCCGCCACGCGTCTCTTCCAAGGAAAACGACCACGTGGCCTCGTCCCTCCCCGCACAAGTTTCATCAGTGTTGCAAGTAAGTTTTTTATTCGATCTCAGACAGTGTTTAGATAGGGCGGAAAATATAGCTGGCAACGCATGAGGCGAACAGGTGTCCCTGACGACTAACTACATGGGACCAGCATCTGCACTTTGGTCAGTGGTCGATCTGGTTCATCAAATCTCCCCACCTTGGCCCATATAACACCACATCTCTTCAGTCAGTCAGTGAAAAATCTTTCTAACGGGAAAGTAGAACCCTCCTCAGCTGGGCAGGGTTCACCCTGTTGTACTCTGAACTAGCCTAACTAGAGGGATGACGGTCACTCTTCCTGTCCATGAAGTACTAGGAGTAAACTGAGTGCAGACTGAGTGAATGAAAGGTCACACGCTGAGACCAGGAGTCTAGTGGTTACATAGAGACATTCATCTCCCCAGTATTGGGTGTATGTGTTTGAATTAACCAAGTCCAGGTGTGTAATCAACGCTCCTCATGGTTGAATGCACACGTGGGACGTGGGGGTTCGTCTTCAAAGTTGGTGAAAGGCTGTAACACCTTAAAGTATGAGTGTATTCTGAGCACATGTGTGAAGCATGTTACAGGTGATGGTGGGGAAATGTGATTAGAGTAGCCATGCCCAGGCGTGAGATCAACGTTCCTCATGGTTGATTGCACACTTGGGACGTAGGAGTTCCTCTTCAAACGTTTGTGAAAGGCTGTTAGTACCTTAAAGTACGGGTGCATTCTGAACCCATGTGTGAAGCATGTTACGGGTGTTGGTGGAGAAATACAGTACACTCATGACTCCTGATATCTAGAGAGGTAATAAAAAAACAGCGGAGCACCCGCCTGATTGAGGGGTCATGAGTGATTTTCTCTGGGTCTTGTAAATGCCTGCCACTTGGCAGGTTAGTAGTTACAACCTTCGAGTTCTGGGTAGTTAGGACAGTTAGGATTATAGTGTTTTGTGGGTCATCCCAGACCGGCAATGAGTGATCCATGTACTTGTGTAGTATGACTAAAATCGGGATTTCTGTTCCTCAGTGATTGCTATAATTTTGTCGGATGCCCTTAAGGCATGTTCATCGGTGCAAGTAATATTTTTTAATATTTTATGTACCACTAAGTGATGTAGGATGTCCGAATGAATTGTTTCAGATGATTTCCTCGTTCTGATGTCTGTTCTGGTGGAGGTAGAACTGCTGTATTAGTAGTCCTCTTCAGATGCAATAAATATTTTTAATAATTTTTGATACCATTTATAACTTTTGTTTCCCATTGTAGTGTTAAAAGCCACGCTAAGAAGTACTCCAGTGCCTGTGTACAATTATTGATTCTGTCTGTAGTGTTGGAAGGATAAGAAGTGTCATCTTTTACCAGTGCATCTCATTAACCCCAATCACAGGTACTAGCTTCCACGGTCACGGAAATTACTTTTATTAATTGTGTTTGTACTGGTTCGGGATTTTCTCTGGGGGGCGCTTCCACTGCATTACCAACCACTATAACTAAAAAACCGATTATATATATATATATATATATATATATATATATATATATATATATATATATATATATATATATATATATATATATATATATATATATATATATCTTGATAAAATCACACGGGAAAAGGAAACAAATATTTATTATTCAAGACATCTTCAATTCTGATTTTATAAGATTTATCTTATCCACGTTTTCATTGTGGATCTACATGAAATTTTTATATATATATATATATATATATATATATATATATATATATATATATATATATATATATATATATATATATATATATATATATATATATATATATATATATATATATATATATATATATATATGCAAGTAAATCACTGTAGGTGCGCGTGATCCTAGAATAAGCTGATAACCACAAGGAAACAAGAAAACACGAAGTTTCCAAGCGCTTTCGTGTAATTCACATCTTCAGTAGTGAGTACAGACTAAGGAGAAATATTTGACAAAAGTCCCAGTTGATGATTTACTGGATTTCCTCACAGATTCCCTGGATAATATTTCATTGTCCGTCTCGAAAGATGACTTCATCGAACTCATCAAACTGTGTATTAAGGATTGTAAATTTGAATT